AAATTACAAGCATTAAGCAAATTACTAAGATATACATATGTTATATTATCAATACTGTTATTATTTCTACAATTGAATATTATTTTATAATATTGTTCTTAACCAAAATACATATAACAAAATTCTTACAAGTTATATAAAACTTGTAAAAAACAAAGCAAAACTTAGTTATATAATTTCTATTAGTATATTACTTTATCTTTAGCTATACAAAATTTATAATATATGAGATATTTAATTATAACATTATATTACAAACTTTATCAAAAAATAATTATTTAAAAATAAGTATTTGTATTAAATTTCAACAACTTTAAACCAATTTGTAATCATCTACTAATATTTTAATACATAATAATTTTATTATTAATAGATCTAATAAACATACTATTAACTTTAAAATTATTTAAAATTTTAAATATCTTGGTATAATATTGCATTTAATTCATTATACAATATACTATATACTATTTAAAAAAAGTCTATTTTACTTAAATTATTATTTTTTTTTTTAGTATTAAGATGAACTACATAATTAGTCAAGTTTTTGAAAAGAAATGAACAGAACAAAAGAAGTTTATTGTATATTAAGAAAACTTAGTACAAGAAGAATTATGACAATCAAGTGCATAATAGATAGCTTACCAATACTTGAGGAGCTAAATAAAAAAAAAAAACCAAAAGTATATACAATAGCAGACTGCCAAGTATGTCAAGTTGAAGAAAAAGAAACTTAAACATATTTAACAAGTTGTAGTAAGCAAAAGAGTTTATAGAAGCAGATTTAAAATATTGCAATAGCAACAACATGAAATGGACTCAAGAAAAAAAAAAAAAACAGAATTCTATTACAAGTTTTATATAAAGCATTATTTAAAGAAACAGAAGCTAAAGAAATCATAAATAAAAAAGTGTTAATAAAGAAACTTATAATGCTAAAAGTAGAAAAAAGGTTTGAGCAATTCTTAAGCAAGCAAACAACATAGAAGTGTATAGATATAATAACAAAAACAGTATAGAATACCTTCTATAATTAAGTATGAAAGATATAATATAAAAAAATATAAATCTAGAAGAAGAAAATTAATATAATAAATAAAATAAAAAAAGGTGCTTATATAAGAAAAAAAATAAAGAAGAGAATAAAAAAAGATAAACAAATAATAGAAGAAAAAAAAGAAAAGAAAACAAAAAAGACAAATCAAATAAAAAAAAAAGCTTTGAAGACAATAAATACACTTATTACAAAAGAAAAAAGATCCTTCTGATATGGTTTTAAGTAGTTAGATGAACAGTTTATCTCTAATTAAGATAGAGTAATAAGTTGCACTTAGGTACCATTAGGATGACCAAGTGATGCTAAACTTAGATATTGAGAAATTCTATATAATTATATAGGTATATAGTTTTAGAAATCTTAATAAAATACTAGCATAACTGCTTATAGTTAAAAAAAATAATAATATTTAACAAAACACTAATTAGATATAAATAATATTGCAAAAATATATTAATATTAAATACTAAATAATTTAAAAAAATTTAAAAACAAGAGTATAGCAACTTAATGAAATGAATAAATTGTCAACTTCCAAATAGCAAATCTAGAGTTTAAATCCTAGTGATGACAAAAATTTGCAATTCTTTCTGTATTATAATTAACTATCTTCTGTAATTAGTTGAAATAAGACACTTATAACCTGTATAATACCAACATGACTGGAAGGTCTAGGTATTTGTGTAATATATATGAAAGAATACAAACTAGTACTGAGTGGTATGAACTCAAGATAAGTCTTTAGATCATATAAATTACAGAAACTAGGTAGAAAGACAGAAGCCTACTTGAAAGACCTGATTAAAGAGGTAATCTGAACCTTTGATAATGCTATTATAAAGACTAGACTTATGAAACAGAATTAGAATTTGTAAAACTAGGCAAAAAGCCAGTCTTTGAGAAGGAACCAAATAGAACTAACCAGGTTGTTAGGATCTGTTCTAAAAGAAAAAATTATATGTCAACAAACATGTAAACCAGATATGTATAATTATAACTTTCCTTTTCAGACTATCTGATTTGAAAACTTAATAGAACTTGAATTAAATATCAAAGTAATAAGATTATGTTGTAAAATTAGTACTGAAGTTGGAATGAACTCTACAAAAACATAATGGTTTAATAGTATGCCCTAATTACCAATATTGGTCTTGACCATAGTAATACTAAGTCAGCTATAAGAATAGAATATAAAAGATTCTGAAAGATTTAGTACAAAATCAAATATTTTCTATATGAGTAAACTGCTTTAAAGACTTAGTGATTATGACATATTTTCACTGACATTAGTCAGAGTCATTGGTAGACAAAAGTAAGTAGGTAGATATAAAAACTAAAGTGGTTAAATAAGGAACCTACAGGCAGTTTCCAGATATGGCAACTAGTATAGAACTTTTGAGTGAACTACTTAAATTAAACAATGACTAAAGTTGTATGAGTGGTTAGTTGTACACTTTTTCTATGGTTGTCTTCTGTGATTGTAATGCAACTATTAGCCAAATATACTATTAATAAAATCCTAGGACACAAGTACTCACCTTAATATTTAAAAAAAAAAAAATAAATAAATAAAATTTAAAACCAATTTTGTATTATAAATTCTATTAAAAGTAACATGCAAACTTTGTTAAAAATAACATGTTATGAAATAAAACCTATATTTTATTAACATATAAAAGTTTTTGATAATGCATAACATATAGCACAAAGGTTATCATTAAACATTTAAGTATTAGAAGTGTCAAGCCTAGAAGTTTATTGAATTAAAAACTATAGGTTAAAGAACAATCCTGTTGTATAACCAATAATTAGACCTTATAAAGGTATAAGATAAAAATAAGTTGTCATTATACAAGAAATAAACTATAAAGATTATAAATGTCTCTAGAATGACTTTAACCGCATATACGAGAATACCTTGGTAAGCAATGTGAGTGATGCAGTGAAAATGAAATAGGAAAAATAAATTGAAGCACAAAAATTCTGGTCTATATAATTGTGAAATTAATAGTCTAGCTTAAGTATATTTCGAAGATAAGGCAGTCCCAAGTCGCATGTAGATATTATTGATTTGTATAACATGTAAATAAGGATTTATGTACACAAATAAAATAACTAATAAAAATACAAGACCAAGAGGTCGCTTATAAAAATAAAAAGATTAACACCTAAAAAAATATATAATTTTAAATAAATTTATTAATTAATAAAGTCTAAACAATTTTAAGCTTGAACACTTGGACATAGTAACGTGACAACACTGCTTTTTTATTTATTTACATTAGGTTTAGTATCTAAAATTAAATTCTATATATTATTTATCAGCAAGATTCGTATAAACTCTAAAAAATACGGTAAATAACTTTTTTCACATCGATAGTTGGTTGGCAATTGCCGAGCGACTAAAGTTAGTTCAGTCCAATTTAGTAATGAAAACTGGTTTAAACCGGTTTTGTCATTATTACCAAATAGCGATAAGCCTAATGTTAATCTGAGCGTATCATAGCGATAGAGATAATTCCTGCCGGATTATCGTGATTTAGCAACATTAAATGAATAATTCGTAATATTAATACGTACTCGATATATGGACTTCCAGATATAGACAGTATAAAAGCAATTATTATTTATACATAATTGTTATGATAATGATGCATTATTTAATGTAATTGATTCTTGACCTTATCGTTATGAGCAAATGACTTTTTTTTTTTTTAAAAAAAAAACAATATTAATAATTGTGATTTTTTAGATGCGGAAGAATTAGTTCCCAAAACAAAAGCCGATTATTACGGAAGCCGAATAAGGTATTCAATTCTTGAACGTTAATGGTTTAAAGAATAGTCCAATCGGAAACAATTATAGGCTATCCGTCATGACAAGTACTGTACATACAGTACGTATATGATACGACAATGTGATCAATAAGGGAATTTTTATTTGGCAAAGTATTTATATTTGAAACTATAGTTTAACCGTTAGGTTCTATTATTAACTAACAAGAATTTTAAGTTTATCATTAATACGCGGATCCTGAATTTAAGTTTAAATTTTATTGCTGTAGAGTATAAATTTGAATTGACCTTTGAGAAAAAAAATCAGATTGGTTCGCGTACAGTAAGCAAGCACAGCACATTCTCTTTTTATTTTCCTGTAATGTCGAACAATTTTAAGCATGTTAGAAAATTTTCACGCATTAAAGAAATACCATGTAACTTAATTACTTTTCCTTATCAACTATACAAAGTTAAATTAATACGGTAGAATTGGCCGTGTCGATAATTCTATAAATATTTTTTGAATGGGGTTATTCATTAAATGTGTAGGGTAATATTATATAATCCAAATTTTTTCTTAATGGGATCACAAATATTTATAAATAATAATTAACGCGTTATTTTTTTGAAACTTGGGGTTATAACATAGAAAAAAAAAAGAAGCACTTGCATGTACGTTCGGTTTTGAAATTGAAATAGCATATTTGATACATATTTACATATTTTATATACATATTCGATATACACATTCGATATACACATTCGATATACATATTCGATCAAATAAATATCTAATAATTTAGAAAGGAGACATATATATATATTAAGTCCGATTATCTTAGTTGGGCATTTCTCTTTATAGTAAATTAAGCCTATCTCCGAGAATGCTTTAAAATCTTTTGGCCGATCTTTTAAATCATTCAATTGCTTTTCACGCAATTTTAACGGAATCATTCAACTAATTAATAATCCGAGAAGTGGTACAATTTCCTGATCGTCCATAGTATTATCTTGCAGAATTTGTCATTTGATTTTTGGAAGAGTTGGAAATGGAATTTCATCTTTTCATTTGTTAATTTACACCAAATTACTAAAACCTAAAATCATATAGCGTTTACATTCTTGGATTAATGAAAAAAGAGGCTATCAAAGAAGGAAAAGAAAGTTCACGGGCGTTTTATGCAGTGCATAGCATTTCGTTCACTGAAATGGGCGCCTGAACTGTTTTTGCATATAGGCGCCAATTGTGTATTCGTACCTTTGTCAAAAGAAAAGCATGGCGCACTGAGGAATGGACATTAAACAAGGATTAATCTAAATTTGGGTTAATTCGATCGATTTAATAGTAATTATTGCGAATAAATTGAATAAATTTCAAACACTTTTGAAAGAATAAATTTTTTTTTTTAACATTAATATTGCACAGTTGTACTCTTGAATGATTTTCCTATAGCTAAATTTGGTTATTAAAGGTTGAGTCATATGCAGCATTATGCAGGTATATTTAAATAGTAAATCGTGATTTAAATTCTTTGACAATCAGAGAAAAAAATAATCGTCAGCATGCAGGAATCGACCATTTAAGATAAAGAAATATCGTTCGATTTTATCAAAAATAACTTTTTATAGATTGATCGTGGAACGAAATATCGTTAATGAGAATTTTTGCAGTTAAATTGTCCGAAAGATTATTAAAGATGATTAAAACATTAATTAAAGGTGACATGCAAATATTATCATGAGATTTCAGCATACGTACTGTATAATGCTAAATTTTCAACATTAGTAACATTAGTAACATTAGCAACATTAGTAACATTAGTAACATTAGCAACATTAGTAACATTAGTAACATTAGCAACATTAGCATTAATAGGTATTGAATATGATTAAATAATCAAAGCTACATATTAAGTAAATTAGTATTACTTTCATTTTTTTTCATTCTTGCCGATTGATGCCTTTTTTTTATCAACATTTACTAAAAAAAGTCAATGATTTATCTTTATTACATTTCATTAACATTATATATTTTTGAAATTTACACATAATTCGCTTCAAAATATATTACGTCTTGGTTTTTTTTTTTCTTGTTTAATTTTAAATCCAATTTTTTTTCAAGTAATTCAAGTAATTAGAGCAATTCAAGTAATACGGAGTGAATTTATCGAATAAGAATCCAAATTATCATCAATGACATCAATGATATTCTCAAAAATTAAAGGAACCGAATCAAAAGTTTTTAATCGATATTCTAATAATTCCATCGGAAGTTGACACATGACAGAAAAGTAGATCATTTAAATCGAAAGCCTGAGGTATTGATGTCAAACCTTAATCTGCACCATGTACGTATTTAAATGTGTTATTTTGTGATAATCTTACGTAAAATGAGTAGATCTTTAAAGCAGCTAACCCTGAGCGACGTTCATTGTATGGTTCTTGTAAGATGTACAGACGATTAATATGAGAACTTGCCACGCAGATTAAGTGAAGCAAGCATCCAAATGTCCAATAAATGTAATTCGAAGAACATAAAAAGACCCATGCGTTTTTTATTGCAGTTATATGACGTAATTACAAAATCACATGGACCATTATAATTTGTAATTTTGTTTTCTTAATTGATCGATTATAAAAAATTTAAGTTTTACGAATTGCTTTTAGATCTTCACAAATGCATGTTATGCTCAATATTAAATTATTACCTATTTATTTATACGATTACAGATCAAATAATGATCGGTTATATAATGCTAACAAGGGGATAGAGAAAAAAAGTTATAAAACAGTAAATCAACAAAAAAATTGTTTATAATTCGTTCTCATAGGAAGGCGAATCACCAATCATAATGTTAAAATGATCAAGTAAAAAAAAAAAATTTCAAGTGTTTTTAACACCTCTAGAATCGTTTTTTTTTAGTTTGATGATATGATCATTTATGGAAATTCTTATGAGAAGACACAAACACACAAAAGGTAATTATTTGCTTTATTAGGATAATGTGTAATGTTTGAATACGAATGCTTACATATTGTTAGTTTTTATTTGGTAAAACATTTACCGTGACATCTATGATTTACTAAATTGTTTATTTGTTTATACCTTCTTTATGGAACCTCTGAGAAGCTTTCCCTCTGTTAAATGTTTAAAGAGTAGTCATCTGTGAGATGATACATGGAAATTAATTGGAAATTAAGAAGACTTTGAGAGTTATTTTTATTTGTTTGGTTTGGATTTAGTGATGTGCGTAGCTTAATAATTCTTAATAACTCTTAATAATTCTTAATAATTCTTAATAATCTTAATGATTCTTGATAATTCTTGATAATTCTTAATAATTCTTAATAATTCTTAATAATTCTTAATAATTCTTAATGATTCTATATGTATAATCTTTTAAAATATCAAAAGAAATGAATGACATATACGTAGTTGAAGATTGAAACACTTAAGGGGTGCTGGATGGCTCATCCCATGATTAATTGTGTTATGTAAATTACATTCGAAATTTAGCCTAAGTAAAAATTGCATATCGCTAAACAAATAGCATTTATGATTGTTCATTGTGTGCTCTTCTTTCTATTCATCTTATTCATTGGATGTTATAGACGAATTATGAGTCCAATACCAAAGACTTTAGTACTAAAGACCTTGGTAATAATTAAATATAAAAAATAATTTATAATTCGTGTTATTATTACTAAAATTATATGAAATTTCAAATCATCATAACAATTCTGATAAAACTTTCTTGATCTACAAGTTATTTATGTACCATACAAATCAATTATTTATGTAATCGCGCAATGATGAATCATCTTGTAAATTGATGCACCATACGTTTTAAGGATTTTTTTTGGTGTTAGTCTTTAACTTTCAAAGATCACCTATTCTATTTACCATAAGTTATTAATAATTTATGCAGATCAATTAATAATAATTTGGTTAAGACACATAATGAATTAAGAATTGCTAAACAATTTTAACGAAATTTAATAATCACCAAAATAATAAAATTGGTAACAAGTAACAAATAAACCCTCCAAAGTTTAGCATTAAGAGAAGTAATATTTCAAAAGGACATGTTGTCTGACCGTAGGAATGTCCATGGGAATGTCCATGGCATGTCCATGGGAATGTTCATGGTATGTTCATGGGGAATATCTATGGTATTTCCATGGGAATGTCTATAGGAATGCCCATAGAATTATACATCAAAATTAGATCGAAAAAGCAATTTATTGTACTACATATAATGCGCACGCTAGCTCAATGAAATGTAGCATTGTTTGTTTATTTGATAATATTATTTTTGAAGGAGACAAATTAAGATGCATGAATAAATTATTTAAGCTTCAAAGTCACACTAGTGATACATTGAACACTTAAATCTATAATCTTGTGAAACCATAAAACCTATGATACCGTCTGCAAACTATGCTGTCTACGGCCTAATTTATTTATGAAAAGCTAAGAATTTTAAGTTTTTTCTAAGAACACAGGTTCGTTTCAGAATGCAACGTAATTCCACATTGTTATTTATAGTTATGCCTTACTTTGATTTTTAAAGTAAGTCATAATGATTAAAAACATATATTTTACTATATATTGATAATATATTGATATTATATATTGATCTTGTATATTGATATTATATATTGATCTTGTATATTGATATTATATATTGATCTTGTATATTGATATTATATATTAAATAATATTTAAAAAAAACAAATAAATAAACTTTAGTAAAAAATTCTTATTAGAAAGAATAGGGAGAATACAGTAGTTACTGTATTTAAAATGTATAAGATTGACAAATAAACATCAAGCTTATCGGTTTACTCCGTAATTCCGAGTCTTATCATTACTCCTAACTTTAATAATTCGCAATCAGGGTCAAAGGAAAATCTAAGCAAAGAGATGATGCACACTATTACATGAGAAAGGAACATGGCTTCACGAGAAAACAGTGCATTTAAATTTTTTTTTTTTTTTTACACATTAAAAAGTGAATAAATGATAACAAATAGCATCATTGAATAAATTAATTTTCGTTTTAAAAAATTTATAATTTAGTGACTTTAGTATTTTTTTTACTACTTATTCTATTCATTCTCTTATGTTGTTATGATAGCATTAAACTAATTATTAGCTGTAATTAATAATTGATACCTAATAATTGTTACCATGAATTTTTTTATATCATTACGATTATAATCAACAGTACAATATTTTTTTTTTTTTCATTACAAATCACTATTACGCTTTTTTTGAGATGCATTGTATGTGTCTTTTTACAGAACCAAATAAGGAATAGACATATTTATTATAAATGAACATGATAAATTAAGTTCGGTTGTACATATTTTCCATGTTTCCACATTTGACCGAAAACCCGTTTTCAAATTTAGAAAAAAAAAGTTAAAGAATAGTGTTATAACATAAAAATTTGGGTACAAAATTTCTATTAAATAAACGATGTTTACAGTAACAGTAAACTTTTGATGGATGATCTAAATGTTTGGAGATTACATATTACTTTCGTGGTGAAAGGTTGGGTCCAGAAGGCAAACACTTTGAATATGTAAAAATTCCTATTGGATACTTAAATTTTCGAATTCGGATCTTTTTATAAACAAGCATATATAGAAAACCTAAAAATCACTTGTTTCCTATATTTATATATTCTACACAATATCTTGTATACACAAATCTCCTTTATTTAGAAATTTACATGCTTGTAATGAAAAACAAAAGGAATAGCGCCAATTATCATAAAGGTAACATTTACCTTTCTTGACGTTTAGATTGATCATAAGAATTTTCCTATTACAATATAAAAAAATCTTCTATTTTTTAAATAAAGTCTTTTGTTAATTGTAATTGGTTTATGGTCAATGTCAAGATTTTTTACGTTAGTATCTTACGTCAACGTCCTTATGTCACGTTTTTACGTCACCGTTTTTACGTCAACGTTCTACGTCAACATTTATACGTCAATATTTTCATGTCAAAAAATTTAATCGAAAATTTTTTACTCAAGAAATTTTTACTCAAAGATTTTTACGTCGAGATTTTACTCAAGATTTATCGTAAAAAAAAAAATCCCATAATGTGTTGTTTATTTGATTGCTGTACAGAAGGGACGAGAATTACAAGTACCATGTTAAATGATTTATAAAACTCTAAATAAATTGATGCTAAAATTATTTACAAATTTACTCGGATTTACGTAAAAAAAAAAAAAAAAAAAAAAAAAAAGGTAAAAAAAAAAGAAATATAGATTTGTTTGAAAATCAGTGAAAAGTGTTGTATCTATTAAAAAAAAAATAAAAAAATAAAATGCAATCAAAATTAGATACGATAAATGCTTATATTTATCCTATAGCATATATATAATTCATAATGTAATATTTCTATTTCAAAATAATAAAAAAATGTTGAATTTAAATCCATTTAACTTGCATAAAGAATTCCCATAGCTTACTAGCCTTATTAACATCAATACGAAGAAGTTTTTGTGCATCACTCTTTCTAAATGGAAGTGATTTTTGTGTATATCTTCGAGCTGATGAAACTAATGTATTTTTTGATGTTAAATATTGAACTGGTGTAAGTCGTAATGTTGATGCAACATATGCTTCTTTTGAATGTAAAGAATTATAATGTGGTAAATGTGAAATTGTAAGTGGTTGTCCTTTCCAATTGACTTTTGGATTAATACGATCAAGTAAATTTGTATCAAGATCTAATTGATCAATGTTTTCCATTAATTCTTCAAATTGCATTGGTGGTGGTGGTGGAATACGAATAGTTTTTGCTTCCCCTTCAACCGCAACTGGTGTAAATGTTGCTTCTAAAAGTCCACGGTCTGCCATTACTCTGGCAAGACTATTTCCTTTACGTTTACGTTCTGAAACAGTTCTTTTGGTCTTATTTCGATGTTTAATTCGTTGTTTTTTGTTTAATAATCTTGGATTATGTCGTGAACTTGATTCCGACGTTTCCTCAGCTGATGAAAACATGTCCGAAAATAATAATGGTGTACTAGGATCTGAAGCTGGTGGATCATCACTATGTAATAACGCTTGAGGGTCCTCTTTAAATGGTGTAAAAACATCAACCTTTAAAGTTATTCCTGGTGATGATTTTGATGGAGCTTTGGTAGGATAAGGATTCTTTCTAATTCTACGACGTTTATCAACCAATTTCTTAATAGAACCCCTATCATCGATATTTGTAGATTGTGTTTGGTTGGGCGTTAAAGTCACACGA